TGAACAGAAGCGTTCGTGACCCGAGGTACCACTGTACAGGGAAACTCATTATGGAATTGTTTTCTACCTTAAAAGACATATTACTTGTCTTCCCTTAGAAATTTAATGTGTTAGAAGATGATCACCGAAAACTACTTTTTCAGCATCTCATATTCTAAAAGTTACAGTTGTATGCAAGGATACTTAAACCTTGTTGAAGTCAGTAAGATTTAAGCAGCCTAACAACTACAATGTTGTTCTTCAAGTGAGGTCTTGAATCTAATGTTAAAGACATGCATGGTGAATAGGAAAAAAATTAGATATAAAGCTAAGAATATTGTAAAGTTAAAAGCCCTGCTGTAATAAAAAGCATTTTTCTATGCACTGTACTAGAAGCTTTAAAAATCTTTTAAAAATAATTCTTTGTTGCACAGAACACCAACACCTGGTAGCACCTGTTATTCCACTTGAAAAATTCCATCAGCTAAACAGTTTGAAGAAAAATAATTGCACTGTATGATTTAACATGAGATCTTAAGCCTTTCAATGGAGCCCTAATGACAAATGAGAACTTCCTAATTACCTGACTTTCCTATTCTTTTCATCTTTTAATTTTACTTAACTGTTTGTAATTAACGTGCTGAAACATATTGATTTACGAAAAACTCCTTCCCTGGAGTTTGGAATGATGATTATCTTTGCCTATCTTCCTTATGGACTTGCAGAAGGAATTTCTCTCTCAGGTAAGTTGCAAAACAAATCCACCCAAAGCTATTGGCAGTGTTGAAACAGTTTTCAGTTCTCTAGAACATTCAGTATATTCCAACTTCCTGGTATACTTCCTCCCTACAACCTTCACTGAGGGCTATAACGAGAGAGAAGTTGATAATTTATTCTCCAAGTTTTTATATTTTCTCACGTTTACGTTAATCCCTTACATCCAAAAAGAGACTTTACAAATTTGGAATTTGGGAAATCAGTCTTTCAAGCTAGTATATGATGTTCCCTGGCCGTAATGGCCAAGTTCATAGGTTGTGCTAAGTCATAGTGAGATTTGCTTGGTTTTCCCTTAAAAATCCAGTACTTATGGCTTTTTATAGAACCATGGAAAGTATGGAGTGAAAGGTACCTTATAAGTCATTTAGTTCTACCCTATGCTCAGAATAGGAATCACTAAACCATCCAAACAGATGGCTATCCAGCTACTATCTGAAAACTTCCAGCAAAAAGAATCCATTACTGTTCTACGCAACGTGTTCCATTGCTTAACAGCATTTATCAGGACATTCCTTCTGATATTTCTCCTGAATCTCTTTAAATTTACACAATCTGGCTCTTAGATTTAGCAGAGAGTAGATGCCCCTGCTTTTAGGTATTTGTAGACATTTAGTCTTTTCTTTTGCAACCTAAACATCTCCAGCTTCTTTAACCATTCCCCATAGAGCTTGGTTTCCAGACTCTTTATCATCCTGGTACCTTTCCTTTTAATTTGCTTCAGTTTCTCTATATCCCTTGTACAGTGCAGTGCCCAGGACTGGACATAATTGCTCAAATGCAGAATAATTAGTAAAAAGTACAGTGGAACTCAGGTCCTGTGATTTGGACACAATGTTTCTGTTAATGCAATCCAAGATTATGTTGGCCTTTTTAGGTGCTATGTCCATTGATAGTCCACAAGTATTTCTAGATCCTTCTGACATACATTGCCACTAAATCAATAGACATTTGACGTTTTATATCCATATGGAGGACCTTGCTTTTCTCACAGATGAGCATCTTTCCATTGATTTTGGTCCAGTTTTCATTCTCACAGAGATAATTTTGAATTGCAATTTTGTCCTCTAAGATATTAACCAATTATCCTAGCTTGGTAACACCTAAACATTTGAGAAGCATCTCTTCTATCTCCTAGGTCATTTATAAAGATGTTCACTAGCATTGGGCCAAAGATGTAATCCTGGGAAACTCTATCCATATTTCTCTTTGGGACAATGCAGAACCATTTCAAGCAACCTTTTAAGTAATAGTTTATGATTTAGTATGAAGTCTGAATCCAGATAGTACACTGGACAGAAAACTACATTCAACCCAGGACAATATCAGATTTATTTATTTAAGAGCTGGCAAAGAAGGCTCCCCCCAGGCTCCCATACAGAGTATTTTCTGTAGTAATCTTCTGAGTCACTGTTCTTCTCTCTGGAATAGCATTCCCCTAGAGCAATGTTGTCCGAACTTGGCCACTTTAAGATGAGTGGACTTCAACTCCCAGAATTCCCCAGCCAGCATGGCTGGCTAGGGAATT